ATAATGAAAAAACTTTATACTTTAGTAACAATGAATGATAAATTTGCATATTTCAAAATTAAGACATGTAATTTTCTATTTTTTTCTTTATTTCATTAACCTGAAATAAAAACCAAAATAAAAGAGTTGTTATTATTATCTGATAAAATTTATGTGTCAAAAACCTACAAACTGAACATAAAATTATATATATAGGGATAAGTGTATATGAAAAATATTAATAAAGGCAATAAGTGCAATAGCTCTAATGAATATTGAAAAGCTATTGATTTTTTAGAAAAAGGATGTAATTGTGGTTGTTTTTCAAAAATTCTCAATAAATAATTTGCAGAATTAAAAGAATCTTTTCAAGCTCTTTCTAAATCAGAACAAAACATATTTTTAATGACCTAATTTAAAGCAATAGATGGTGGATTAATAAGCACTAGTAGATACCTTAAAAAGAAAATTAGATCTAATAAAAGAACTTTCTATTATTAAGATTACAATACACTTCTTTGTCAAGAAACTTATCTTAATATATTAGGAATTGGTAGAACTTATTTTGAAAATATTAGAAATCGTCTGATAAATATTGGTCTTCTACCAAGAATTTATGGTAATATTAAAAAAATGCCTCAATAGAAAACTAAAATGGTAATTGACAAAAGTGTTGCAGAAATAGTAAAGAATTTTCTAGAAAATTATGCAGAAGTTTATGAATTACCAAGTCCAGGAAGAAGTATCAATAGAATAACTCAATTAATTGTATTCTTATCAGCTGAAATAAGTTATAAATCAGTATATAGAAATTTTCTAGCTAGTCTGGAAGAAAACAGCAAATTAAAATCCTTAAAATATGATGTATTCAGAAAGTTATGACATCAATTGACACCAGAAATTCAAATCATGAGTCCAAAAACTGACTTGTGTCAATATTTTAGCCCAATGACTACTAAAATCATCAAAAAAAGAAAAAGAGCATGTCAGAATCGGTTTAAAAATCTGTCTACTTATATCTATATGTAAGGGCAAGTTGAATCCATAACTCCCAAGTATTAGTCAGAGAGATGGTTTACATTATAAGAAAAAGAAACCAAAGAATTACTTAAAAGATTTAAAGAACATCTGTCTAAAACCAAATTAGAAAGAAATTATTATAATAAAAATACAAAATTAGTAAAAGAACAAAGAAAACTAGCTGATTAACATTATTTAAAGAGTAAAACACAATATTGCAGTATTAATACTGCTGCTCATTATAGTTATGATTGAGCCCAAAATGTTCATGTATCCTATTTAGATCAATAAGTAAGTAAAATTTATTATCTTAGTCTATGCAAAGTTCATTTATTTGGTATTCAAGATAAAGCAGTAAGGGAGTAAATTAATTATGTTTTTAATGAAGATGAAGTTATAGAAAAAGGACCCAATGAAACTCTTAGTATGATTTTTGATGGAATTAAGAAATTGAATAAAGGTGAAAAGTAATTAAAAATTACTTGTGATAATGCTGGTAAACAGAATAAAAATAATATAACTTTTTGATTTTATTTATATTTGGTAATTTGTGGCTATTATGAAAGTATTGAATTAAATTTCATGATTCCTGAACACATCAAATTCAAATGTGATGATAGTTTGGCATGATTAAAAAGCTTTATAGGAAAACAAGGATTGATTGTCTGGATCATGTAATTGAAATGATAAAAAGTCTAGTCCAGCTGGATTAAATAAAGCACAATGTTATGAAGATAGAAAAGGTTTTCAATATTTGGATATCAAATCTATATTGGGAATTTATTTTAAGAAATTACCAAATATACACAAATTTTATTATTTTCTTTTTAAAGCATCTAATCTTGATATAGTGAAAGTTCAAGAAGTTGTTAACAGACCTTTTATTAAATTCAATTTATTGAAAACCAAAGAAGCAGATATTTTTGAAGAAATTAGAACTTTATCTATTTTAGTGTTAACACCACCTCCTTTAGATTACAAAAGATAAGAATACCTTTATAATAATATTCGTCTATTTGTGAAAGATGAATACAAAGATATTACTTGTCCAAGACCATTCTATATTGGTAACAAATAAAATATTTAGAATAAAATCATTTCACCCATTAATTTATCCCTTACTGTCATTAATTTTAATAGTACTAAAATAATTTATATACTTAATATGCACTTATAAAAAGGATATAAGTATATTAAAAGAAAAAAAAAAAGTAAAGTCATGACAAACATCATAAAAGTACAAAAAAAAGTAAATAAAAAACTATTAGAAGAAAATGAAAATTTAAAGAAGCAATTAGCAGATAAAGAAAAAAATTTTAAATTAAGAATTTTAAATGCAGTTAATAATATTATGGAAAATGAAGAAAGATCAAAAATTGTTGGCACTTTAATGACCTTAAAATAATACTTTTGGTCTTAATATGAGTAAGTAAAGGTTTAAAAAGAAAATGAAGTTGAGAAAGTTACTTTTAGCAAATAATTCACCTTTGAAAACATTGTTAAAGGTTTTGTTGAATGAACATCACTCAATTGTAATTCATATTGTTATGTTTATAAAAAAATAAGAAATTAGAAGAAAAGGTTGAAAAACTCGAAGTAGGATAACAAGAATTAGAGAAAATCAATCAAAAATTAGAAAAAGAACTTGAATTAGAAAAAGAAAGTGCTAATTGTCATTTAGATGCCATCAGCGTTTGTGAGGATTGATGTTTTCTTATCAAATTAATCTGTTAAATAAAAATTTAGTAAGTAAAATAAAAGAGGCTGAAGATAATTATAAACTACTATAAGAAGCTAATAAAAAAGTCACCAAAAATGAGATACAAATAAAGAAATTGGAGAAAGATTTAGAAGATTTAGAGGATTTTTCTGAACAATTCAAGCAATTCAGTGATAAGTTTGAAAAATAAGAAGTTTAAATCAAGAAATTAGAAAGAGAAGTGTGGCTCAATAAACCTTTACCTAAAATTCCAAGTAAGTTTAAATTTTTTAAATAAAAAGTAAAAGCTAAATGTCAACAGTTAGTAGAAAAGGCAAAAGTTTGAAAACAAAAACAGTTGCTAGAGTAGAAATTTCAGTTAAATAATTGTAAAAGAGTTAGATTATATAGTTATCAAATTAGAGAAATGAAATAAAACAACTTATGACTTTTGTTCTAATCTTTTTGGTGAGGATAATAAAGTAGTCTGTCAAATCAGAACTTATAGTAAGTTGACTGATGAATTAGTAGCAAATGATATTGCTTGTGAAGAGTGTAGGAATAGACTTAACAAATTGCCAAAATGTGGTAATTGTGAGAGACTTTATACTAAAGCAGATCAAGATATCCTTAGTTGTAATATGTCTGTAATTGTAAAGGGAAAGAATAAGAAAAAGAATTACCAATTTTGCCTCATAAACGAAGACCAAATGCTTTTTACAAATGACAAATCATTGGCCTATAAAAGAAAAAAAACCAAATGACCGAAGAAGTAGAAACTTATTTGGAAGCCTTAGAAGTTGCAGAAGACTGACATAAAAGACAAAAACAGGAATTAATAGACTGGATTAAGTAATTAGAAGAAGAAAGTAAGAGATTAAAAGAATTAACTCCTTAAGAGTTAATAAAAGAAATTAATAATTTGAAATCTCAACTAATCCAATCTAATTACAATAGCAAAATGGTCAATTAACAGCTCAAATTAAGATTAAAAAAACTAAAAAATGATCTTGATTGAAAATAAGAAAATAATTTTTGGTTATTTCCCTCTGTATAATTCCAACTATCAAAGAAAATAGTATTTATTTTCCTTTTAAAGGTTTTTGCTTTTTATTAGGTAATAATGTATCATTATGATGCTTTCTTTTTCCAATGTTTATTATTTTTTTTTTTCATGGTAAATTTTATAGGTAATCTTTTATTTTCTTAGATAAGTTTTAAGTATTTAAGTATCACTTAATTTGAAAATATAAGAAACAATTTTTTTAACTTATTCTTTCTTCAAAATACTTCTGATCATACATGTTAGCCAAAATTACATTTATTAGTAAATTAACATTGCCAAATTTAAAATGCCAAAATAGTTTTTTATAGTAGCCGAAATCAATTTTAATAGTGGCCAAAACTATATCTATAATTATTTGGATTTTTTGCTTCAATAGCCAAAACTCTGGATGGTTTTTTTATGATTATTAATATAGAGAATATAGCAAAGCCAAAATGCTGCCAAAATATTTGGCAAATACAAAAACCATTTTGGCTAACATCTATGCTTCTAATGGTGCTATAATTCTTGGACTATAGTAGATCTGATGTAAATGAGTTTTATATTAATTATTTTTATATAGAGGTAATTCTATATATCACTTAAAATAACAAATGGGATATTATAAAACTTTTAATTATGATCACATTACAAATTTAAATTTTGATTCCTAAAATTCTTGTAATACTAATGTTCACTTTATCTGATTTTGTTGTAGCATATCATATATATAAAGTATAGATGAAAAATATTTTTAGTTTAATAGTTCAATATATTTTATATAAATAAACAATATAAAAAATTGATTTTATAAATCTCTTATTAAATATATTTTCATTTAGGCAAATATCATACTAAATGTTTTTTATTACCTAAATGTCTTTTGATTAATTAATTTTTGATAAGAAATCATGTGATTCATTAGCCAATAGATTTACAGAAATACTAAAAAATGATCTGCAAAATTGGCCAATCACAATGACATTTGTCGTTCCAATCTCGATTGTTAAGCGGTAATTTCACATGATTTGGTTCCTAATTTATGAGTCGATTCATGATTGGTTTCTAGTTTTATGGGACTGAATTCAATCCAATTCCAACTCCGAGACCTGTCATATGATTGGATCGCGATCCATCATAATTGGCATAAATAGGAAATAGGAAATTATTGCTGCAGAAATTCATACTTGTTCAAAAAAAGGAAAAAAATCCTAACAGCATTCATTATTTTTTTTTTAATGGTTCTTTGAATAGATTATGGCTTCAAAGAATCGTTTTATTACCTTAAGTTTTTTCTTATTTTTGATCCTGGTGCTTTTACCACATGCAATAGCTTGGGATAATGGTACGTATTTTGAAATTTTTATTGAGATTTGTTAATGGCTGAGTAATCTTGAAAAAGGGTTTACGATATATTAATATTTATAAATATTTAGAGGACCACGAAATATTTACACTAGTAGACGAATTAGAAGCTTCCGAGGGAAAGGATGTAAACTTTTATTCCTGGCTTGGTTTAGAACCTACAGCCACAGAAAAAGAGATTAATAGAGCATATCGAAAATTATCACTTGCATTACAGTAAGAACGTTAATCTTTTACAATAAAACATTATACGTACTGATTATTAGTCTAATATTTCATTTCTTTTTCATAGTCCTGATAAAAATCATGACGCTAATAGCAAAGAAAGATTTTCTCGATTAGGCGCCATTACGACAATTTTACGTAATCAAGATATGAGGGAACGGTATAATTTCTTTTTAAAAAATGGAGTGCCCAAATGGCGTGGTACTGGGTATTATTATAAACGATATAGACCTGGATTAGGGACTGTTTTAACAGGGTTATTAGTATTAGGTTCATTTTTGCATTATATGGTAATGTGGGTAAATTACCATCAAGAAAAAAAGAGAATTCGTTATTATAAACATGAATCGAGAGAAATTGCTTGGGGGAAAAGAATGAAAAAACAACAAACGAGAAAGCGTGTTTGTGTAAATGGTTTAACATTTGTAGTCGAAGGCGATTTTGTTTCTTTTTTAGCTGAAGATGGAATCGAATACAGGTTGGATGAAGAAGTAATCGATCAACCTAAAATAACTGATGTGATGATCTTTGTGTTGCCTAAGTGGTTCTATGAAAATATATCAAATAAATTTACCACAAAAAAATCTTCCAATACTACCGCCACCCGAGAAAAAAATATTTAGCAGTGATGATGAACATTAAAGATGGAAATACTAGATTAAAAATCTTTGGATTTAAATGTAGACATTATGTTTAGCTTCATAATATGATAATTTTATTTTTATTTTTGAAAAAAAAAGAACAGTTACAAAAAAATAGATTGGTTTACTTCAAAAAAAGATTTTCTTGTAAAAATTTCTTATAGATAGTTGATAATATATCTTTCACTAATAAACATAACTCGTATTCGCTAAATATTAAAAATCATTACACTTTGATGTATATATTTGACCCAGTGCACTACTCTAAAATTTGAATATAAAATAAATGCTTTAATATTAAAAGAACATAGTGTCCCGAAAAATTGGTCTCTCTAATTTTCTAAAATTTTCATCTTTTCCTATTCTCCAAATATATTCATTCAAATCCATTAAACTAATTTCATTTCTTCCTGATTCTTTGGCTCGGGAGACGATGATTTCACAAGCGTCTAAAACAGCAGCGCGCAAGCGGGTTGCATCTTGTATATTTATGATTTCTTCTCCATCAAAATATTGTTTAAGCAGTGGTGTTAAATTGATGATGTTAAAATGATATAGAATTGTCGATATAACATTATCAGCACATACTGTAAGGTCAGATATGTCAGAGAAATCAAAGTTATTTGTTTGTGCATTAGAATGGAAATGACGGTATAGATTAGCGGCGAGAAGTTGCGCTTTTTTAAATATGTACACCGCTATATTGTAAGAGAAAGATTTGATGAATAAAAAATCTATACAGATTTAATTAAAAAATTCAATTAAAATCTTACGCTCTCCGTCAACTTTTGTCATGTCTCGAAAAGCTGGAAAGGCTCGAACCAACTGGAAGAATCAAAAATGATATTCATATATTTACATATCAAAGTGAAAGATAAGGTTTTCATGAAAATCACAAACCTTCTCAACAAATTTGGATGCTTTAGACTTTTCATCTGGACTCGCTGGTTTAGCAGCTTCTAAGATGAATGCCGCAAAACTTTTGAATCCATATTCTTCTAGTCTTCTTCCAGTATCATTTAGCGTCCATGTGATTAATTCCGCGAAACGACGTGATTTCGAATGCTCTGAAATTTTGATCGCTTCAATTGTTGGGTGAGTAACTTCAACATTCAGTGGTATCTGAAAGAAGGAGGAGACCTCAGAGAGTGTCAATGATCGTAATGTACGTGCAGATAATGAAGACGATGTTATGTGAATGGACATTATTCCATAACGAATCGTATTAAAAGCACCCTATAGTCATCACAAATATGTTGTCAGTAAAGAAATCTAAATGAGATACAATGATACTAAACTTACCCTGCCACATTCTTTGTGCAATTCTTTACGAAATCCACTTCCAAAATTCAATAAACTGATTAATCCTATAATGTTTAATTCTTGTCCTAAATTATCGAATTTTAGCGGCATCTAATAATTATCAAATTCGTAAGGTTCTTACAGTTAACTTACATAAATCAAATGTCTGTATTTTGATTTACCTGTAATCCATCGCTTTTTGTAAGTTCTTGAAAATGATTAGGATCAATATTTTGAATAAAATCAGTTATCGCGTCTTCATTTATCTATCAAATATAGAGAATTTTATATGTTCTTTTTTTTGGCCTGTTTTAAAACTTAAACAATATATATATACTTGAATGAGACTCCGTTCTCGACAGTTACGACAAGAGGCTCGTACTGCTTGAACGAAGTTATCATGGGGAAAAGGAATCGATTCGCTATTTGCACTTGTGCTAATAATATTCGACATTATATTTGGGGTTAAAAAAAAATTTTTTGTATTGCCTACGTGCAGATGCATATAAAATCAAAAAAAAACGATCTGATCCAAAAATTTTCATCATATTTGGAAAAATGAATATATTTACTGGAGATGAAAGTGGACTTGTTAAATGTAATCAAAATTTATTACTTATTTACTCAATTTCATAGAGATAATGTTATCAATTAATACATTTCTTTAGCAATTACAATTTCACAAAAACTAAAAGAGAATGCTGCTTCGTCTATTGTTAAAACCTGGGGAAAAATCGATAGAAGTAAAAGCATACAATTAATGCATTATACCAAAGGAGATAATAAAAAGGTATTATTGAATATCTCGTGTAATTTAATAATCATATTCGATGCATTACATATTCCTTTTAAATGCATAATTAGTTAATAGTCGCACGAAAAAATGGACAAATTAGTATTTTGGATCCAAACGAAGAAGGTAAATCATGTCAAGAATTCTCCGAACCTTTCGTTACTGGAGAACAAAAATCAAGTGCACGATTCGTGGGTTTATTTGCAAATAACAGGTAAGGTATTTAAATATTATTATTATCCTTTGATAAATGGATTTTTTAACTAATTTTTTAACGATAAATCTTTTAGCACATTAATAACGTGTACTGATCAGGGTATAGTCCAGTATCGATCTATTTTAGAAGATAAAGTATGAATTCCTTTCTATACTTGACACATTGTTAATCTTTTTAAAAAGCGTTTTTTAATTTATTTAATCAGTCATCTACCATAGAAGAAACCCTCACACTTGTACCGGACTTGTGTCGATTAAGAGTACATCCAAAAGAGCATCATATATTTGCTTGTGGTGGAAAGGAACGTGAATTGTCGGTGTGGGATGTAAATGCTCATAAAGAAGGAAATTGTCTTATGAAATCACAAAAAGAAAAAGAATCAAAAGCAGGATTGGTTTGGATGTCAAAAAACGTTAGTCATGATTTTTTGGATTTACGCGTTCCAGTGTGGATTACCGATTTACAATTTCTCAATGAGCAAGAAACCACGAAACTTGTAGTTGGCACAAAATATAATCAAGTATGTAACTTTTTTCTATTATTATTTTTTTCTTGCATCACGAGAGATTTTAACTTTTAAATTTTCTTATTTGTACAGATTCGAATATATGATACAAAAGCGAAGCGTCGACCAGTATCTGATTATAACATCGGAAATAATCCGGTCTTATCATTAATTGTTGGCCGCAATTCAAAGTATTTACCTGAAAATATTTTAATCACTTCATTTTTTCTGATGCATCTATTGATAAGTTTTTAGTGAAATAATTTTCACAGATACGGTTTGCAATGTTTTCTCAGTGGATGTAAGAACAGGTACTTCGGATATGTATGCAACTTGTTTATTTCTTATATCGTTTACGATTATTAACAGTATTTGATTTGTAGGCAAAATCTTAGGACAATTTAAAGGTAAGGAAGGAATTCTCATAATATTAAATATTAGTCTTGCATTCGTTATTTATCAATAACATTTATTATAGGTTTTTCCGGTTCAGTAACCAACTTGGCGGTTGCTACCGAATCTTCATTATTAGTCTCAGTTGCGATGGACCGGTTCTTGCGTATACATGAAATTGACGCGTCGCGTGAACTTGTAAAAAAAACATATTTAAAACAACGGCTCACTTGTGTGGTGGTTGATGAGTCAGAAGGTAAAATTTGACCCGTGTTTTCTAGCATTTAAATTTCCCTATTCTTATATTATTATGCTTTTACAATAGATGGAATCCTTGGATACAGCAAAAAAGATGCCGTAAAGGACGATTTAGAAGAGGAGAAATTTTGGGAAGATATGGAAGAAGTCAAACTAAAGAAGAGAAAAACTAAACACTAATTTAAATAAACATAATTCCCTTAAAGATTTAAAAAAATATGTGATATTTAACGCGTCTTAAATTGCTTTTACGTTGTTTATCACGTGATAAAACTTAGTTCGATCATTTCAAAATCCTTTCTTTGCCAACCATTCCTTTAACATTAAGCCATGTCGTCCCTTAATAATTACATGATTATTTGTAGGATTGACTTTAACTAAGTTTTTCTCTTGAGACTCGTAGAAAAGTTCTTTTCGTATATCATTGCAGAGGGCCTATTTTAATACAATATATAAAAATGCGTTTGCAATAAGATATTGTATTAGAAAAATTAAAAGTCAAACGTTACCTCGACATCCCCTTCAATTCTACTTATCTCTGTCAGTATACGCGTTCTTCCATTTTTAATGTCTATATAGACTGGTAATTCTTTCATTTGAGTTCGATTAACGAAATAAGGATACTGAACATATTTTATTATCGTCTGTTGCTGCTGTTGTTGTTGTTGTTGTTGCAAATATCGCTGTTTCTTTGCCAGATTTTGTCCAACTTTTGAAGTTGTTGTTTTTACTAATGATTGTTTTAGAATTAGCACACATTTTTGAAAAGCAAATAATAATACAATAAAAAATAAAAATAAAAATTACTGTGGTTTAAGTTTGAGGACTTTGTTGACCTTAAATTTGACTTTGAATGAGTAGAACGAACGAAAATTGTTGGAATGAGTCGGGATGCTAGGCTCGCAGTTGAAAATTTCGTCAAGACTTGCAACATTTTTTTTTCTTTTACAAAATCAGGTGTAATTTCGACTGCGCGGCATTTTTTAACTGCAATTCGAGTTGCACAAATTTTTGGTATTAAAATAATCACCTCGTGTTTTTTAACCTTGGAAGATCTTCAAACTTCAATATTTCAACTTGTTGGTGAATTCGACTTTGGACTATAGATCATGGACATCGTAAAGGCAGTGCAGAACTATATTAACAAGATGGTCAATGAAGTACCGGGTATAAAGGTGCTGCTACTTGACGCAGAGACGGTTTGTGTTAAACTCAAGCTTTATTTCACAAACCATCAGTTACTTTTTGAACTTTGTAATAAATAAACCCCAATGTCTTATTAGACTCCGATTATTTCGAACGTAATGACTCAATCTAGCCTCTTATCACATGAAACTTATTTGGTCGATCGAATTGATAATAGAAATCGCGATAGAATGCGACACCTCAAATGCATTTGTTTTCTACGGCCTACGAAGGAGACCATACAGTTGTTGGTTGAAGAACTTAGAGATCCCAGTTACGGAGATTATTACTTATGTAAGTTTAATGGCGATCTATCCATTTAGAATTAAAGTTGTTGGCTGTAAAGGATTAGAAAAGATGCAAAGGGTTGCAACCTCAAAAAGTACTGGCGTGACCCGAATGGTTGCAATTCTTATTTGCAGCCAGCCACTTTATTTAGAATACACGAGAATTATTATATATTTATTATTTCAATCCTTAGACTTTAGTAATACATTGAAACAATCGTCAGTCGAAAGATTGGCCGAGGTGGACGAACACGAAGTTGTTCGCGAAGTGCAGGTATCATCTAATTTTTTAGAACCTCAATTTTGTTTTAAACCACGTTTTCTAAGCGATTGCTAACGGTAAAATTTATTTATTTATTTATTTAGGAATATTTCGCAGATTATTGTGCGATCAATCCTGATTTTTTTTCTCTGAATCTTTCTTTACCACAGCATAGACTTTATGATAAATCACCAAATACATGGGACAATAAAACGTTTCGGCGAGTCGTTGAAGGTGTACTTGCTGTTTTACTTTCATTAAAGAAAAAACCCTTGATACGTTACGAGAAAATGAGTGTCATGGCAAAGGAACTCGCAACAGAAGTTCTTGTATGTCCTATGTTTTAACCCTCTATTGATAAATTTAATAACTTTCGTGAATTTTGGATCTTACACATTATCTTTTATTTATAGCACAATATTCAGAGTGAAGGACAGTTATTTGATTTTCGTCGAACGGATACTCCGCCGATATTACTTATATTAGATCGTCGGAATGATCCAGTCACTCCTTTGTTATCACAATGGACTTACCAAGCAATGGTCCATGAATTACTTGGAATCCATAATGGCCGCGTAGATTTATCGGATGTTCCTGATATACGTCCGGAATTGAAGGTTTGTATGTATGCTAAAAAGTTTATTTTATTTCATTTCAATTTTTTTTTTTTTGGTCTGTGTTTGATATTTCTTGAAAAATAAATAATACTTTATACTTTTTTGAAAGGAAATCGTTCTTTCTAGAGATCAAGATCCATTTTACAAGAAAAATATGTACTTGAATCTTGGAGATCTGGGTGCCAATATCAAATCACACGTTGAAGAGTATCAGGCCAAAACTAAATCGAGTATGAATATAGAGTCTATCGGCGATATGAAGCGATTTTTAGAAGGATATCCTGAATTCAGAAAACTATCTGGTAATGTAGGCAAGCATGTAGCTTTGGTTGGAGAATTAAGTCGTCTGGTGGAAAAGGAAAATCTATTAGAAGTTGGTGAATTGGAACAGAGTCTGGCTTGTTATGAGCAGCACAATAACGATTTAAAGGTCGAGATCATGTTACATTTCGATTATTATTTTATTTACATTTGTATCATTGAATTTAAATCTTAATATTTCAATTCACAGAGTTTACAAAAACTTATAGCGAGTCCTAAAGTATCAGATGATAGTAAGATTCGACTAACTTTATTATATTCCTTGCGATACGAAAAATCACCAAATAATGACATCAACTCATTAATTGATCTATTACATCATCACGGTGTTAGCGAACAAAAGATTTCTGTATGTATCTAATTTTTGATCATTGTTGTTTGCTTTTAAAAACATTTTTTAAACTTTATTTATATGAATTAGTTGATTGGATCAATGATAAAATTTGCTGGATCTGATCAAAGACAGGATGATTTATTCTCTAATGAGGGTTTATTGTTCAAAGGACGAAATTTTCTTAAAGGGTTGAAGGTGATAATATGTTAAATTTCCATGATAAATTTTATATTGTATTATCGTCATATAACTCATGTGATTGTTGTTTCAACCTATTATATATATTAGGGAGTTGAGAATGTATATACACAACACTCTCCACATCTTTCGCAGACGCTTGAACTTTTAATTAAAGGCAAATTGAAAGAATCTAGTTACCCATTTATTGATGGGTCAACCAAAGACAGGTAAGGTTTTTATCGTGACTTCAATTTAATAATATTTCTTTTGGAATAGTTTTTCATTCTCTCTCTCCTTAGGCCACAAGATATTATCATACTTATGGTTGGGGGCGTTACATATGAAGAAGCTCGAAATATTGCTCAATTAAATGAATCAACAGCTGGTGTTCGTATTGTATTAGGTGGAACTACAGTACACAATAGCAATAGGTATGATTAATAAGATTTCATCACTGTTGTTATTTATTTAAATTAATTGTTGCTAATATTCTTATGATATTGAACAGTTTCTTGAATGAAATTCAAGATGCATTTTACAGATTCCCGTCGGATGATACAGGTACTAGGACACCACGAATTGGTAAATCATAATGTGCCTTAGGTGATTAAACCGGAAAGGATATTTTAGAAATTAATATTTGTATATTATATAATTTTTTATATTTATGTTAGTATTATTGATATATATATATACTAATTTTTGTAACCAAAATTATGTGAGAAATCTTGGTTATAAATATTTTTTATTTAAATGTGAAATAAAAAAGAATGAATAATAATAAAAATATCTAATTCAAACATATTTTGCTTCAATATGTTGATCTGATGAATTTATAACATTCGGAACAAAACTTGGATCGAGTTTAAATATAAGATTTTTCAGAGATCTTAAATCTCTTTCAATTACCTTGATATTATCTCTTGATTCCTTTTTTTTTTTAAAAAAAAAAAACAAAAATTTAGAAATTGAAAAAATAATAAAAGGATAAAATTAACAAATTACACTTTATATTAAATCCAAACCTCAACTGATTTCTGAATTTTTGACAAACTATCAGAGGTTTGCGTTAGAGCACGGGATACATTAATTAATTGTCCATTTGAACTATCAAATAATTCTTGTCGTAATTTTTGACTTGATTCATCTGTTTATTAATTTGTTTTTAAAAATATATATATATATAATATTTAATTGATAAATAAAAAAAAAAATATATATATTTTTTTTTTTAATCACGACGACGAATAAACAACATACATAATTCTTTTTGTATATGTGGTCTAAAATTTTTTTATTTTGAGTAATTATATAATATTATAATGATTTTCATGAGATTTATAACTTACAAATTAGGTTTAGAAGTCATTTCCAAGAAAGAAACCTTTTGTTGAAGGTAGCTTTATGGGGATTATAATGACAACAGGATCAAAATATTTTTTTAAGGATTTCAATAACTGCGAATTACCATAATCTCTGATTTTGATCGGATCGGACAATCACCAGCCAATCATTACTAATTCATTAATTATTACTTTTCAAAAAAAAAATATATATTTCGAATTTCTCAATAGAAATGTCAACAATACCTACATTTAAATGCGTCCTTCTTGATATTGAAGGAACAACTACACCAATTTCATTTGTACACGATCAATTATTTCCATATGTTACAAATAATTTGGAAAATTTCTTGAATAAAAATTGGAATTCAACAGAATTACAACAAAAAATTCAATTATTAAGGGAACAAGCGATAAAAGATGTAAATGATAATAATTTACCTGATTCGGTTTTAATCCCGGAATCAAAAGAAATTAATGAAATTAAACATTTCATTATAAAAAATATTAAATGGCAAATGGAAATTGATCGAAAGATAGGATCACTTAAATCATTTCAAGGATTTATGTGGGAATCTGGTTTTGAATCAGGGGAATTAAAAGGAGAAATTTTTGATGATGTATTGGAAGCATTTAAAAGATGGAAAGGAATAATTCAAATTTTTATTTATTCATCTGGTAGTATTAATGCACAAAAGTTAATATTTAAGAATTCGGATAAAGGTGATTTGTCAAGTTACATTGATGGTTATTTTGATACTACCATTGGTTCAAAACTTGAAAAATCTAGTTATATAAATATCGCTAAAGAAATTAAAGTCGAACCTAATGAAATTTTGTTTCTTAGTGATAATGTTAAGGAAATTGTTGCTGCAAGATCTGCTGGTTATCAGACAGCTATTATGGAACGTAAAGGTAATTCTCCTTTATCCGATGATGATCGTAAAAATAATATTATTCTTTCGGATTTCCTTCAAATATTTTCTCATGCTACTTTTTAAAAATCTCCATGAGATTCTTTAATAATAAACGTCGGTCAAAGTCACATGTAATCCCATAATTTCATCAATTCACAATTATCACATGATTACCAAAACATCAAAAGATCTGGAAAATTTTCATAGAAAACAATCATTACAAAAATATGTGTAAACTATATGCTGCAAATATTTTATTAAGATAACTTTGCAGTTTCCATGGCACATTATATTGATCTGCAGAGTATCTAAGAGCCGTAATATTGTATCTGTTATCAGAAGTTGTTTTGAGCTTATTTCACGTCTGCTACAACCGAAAATTTTTCCTTTATTCTTCGTCCTTAAGAACATATCTTACAAGAACGAACTTAAAAATAAATTAAATTAGTTTCCTTTATTTATTTTATTTTTAACGTCTTTAGTCATATTTCACTTATTTCCTATACTATTAACAATTGCTAATGATACTGAAATGAAATTTTCCCATTTTTCTAAGTAACTGCCTTCAGAAGACTTGGTTAGAATTTCAATTGGCGATTGTTTAATTTTCGTTGGTTCGTATATTAACTATTTTTTTGTTTTAAAAAGAAAAAATTATTATAATATTTATGTAAAAATAAATATCAATTGAAATAAATATTGTTACCTTAATTTCTGGTCTGTCAAAATTAGTTTCTAGTTCTGAAATTTTGCTTACGGAAAGAGTAAATCCATTATAATTGTATTGACTAGTTGTGTAAAACTTCATACGTTCAAGATTATATGGAACGTTTATTTTTCCTTCTTCAGTTCCAAAACTAAAAACATATTCTCTAGGACATCGAATATTTCGAGGACTAATAAGGTAAATTATAAGAATTAATGATATATCAAGAACCCACGCCACGTTGTCATCATTAGAAATACCTTATATATGAACATTCCTTGAGAAAGTTATCAATGTTGAATGATCTATCAACTGATTCTTTAATGATCGCAGACAATCTTAAATCTGTCGTACTATAAAAAGATATCAATTAAACAATTGACGGTAAATGATGCTAACATCAAAATAAACGAATATCCCTTACCTATCCATCATTAATAAGTCCACCAAGAATCGTTTTTTCTGCATAGTTGATTCCTTAAACTTAAAGTTTAAATCGTTTACATCTAACAATATACTTAATCTTTGGTTAAAAGATGATTCAGATTTTGATTTAAATGGCACATAATCAAACTGAACAGATTTTTGAAATTTAGATATAGGGTTTGATAAGGATGTCAAGAAATTTGGGTACGGGTAACTAAAAAATTATAAACAAGTTAATAACAATTGTGACGGGGTAATTATATAGATAGCATTTACCTAGGAAGAAATGTTCTTAAATGACTGTTTTCTTTGGTCCATTTTTCAAGCGTTTCACGAGAGAAATTGCCAGATAATGGAGGAATAAATAAATTTCTTTCCTCATTTTTCTCGTCGTGGAAAACTTTATAACCAAACCTATTATAAATTTGAGATGATTTAAACTTGTTGGAAGGTGTATATATATTGTACGTAAGAATTATGAAGGTGTAATCTTACATAGAATAAACTTCAGCTTTCGATTTAAATTTAGACTCTTTTGAAAACGCATTCAGAAAAATTCCAAGTTTATTCATGTTTGTTACCTTGTTTTGCGCATCGGATAAATAAAAAGGCAACGGCATTGATTCTTTCAAGAAACTAAATTTACTTGTTAGAATATATTTTTAAAATTGCGTCAAGATTAATGATGTAGATAGAATACCTTTCACTTTCATGTAAAGTATATAAATGTTCGCCTAAAGTTGACTAACGAAAAAAATAAAAATTGCCACTAAAATTACAAATGAATTAAATTTTAGAAGTTCCGTATTCCCACACATACCGCCTTGGAATCAATTCTACCAACGCGATGCCAATTCAAGTTTCGGTTATAGAGCGACATGATCTCAGAATCGTGAATAGGGAAAAAACTGTATTCATTAAAATCTTGCGTTTCGTTACATAAAATCAAATCTGACTCATTTCGATCAGGCTTGAAGGAAATTAAATAAATTATGTTAAATGAGTTTACCATCGAACAAATAATCTCTTGATTATCGAGTTTTACCTTATGCAAAGCAACATTTAATAACCTTAATGATTCTTTGATATCCTGATGTGATCTTCCCGATACTACAAACTGTAAACATTTTTTTGATGCGATATAAAAGAATTTGTAAGAGCTTATTCAATTAAAACATAATAAAAGAATAATATTTTTCAGATAAACAACCTGCCTGTTTGCATCAATCTCAATAAACGTTTCCGATGCGGTACAAATATCTTGCACTAAGGGCATTATTTCTTGCAGGCTCTTTTCATTGTCTTTGATATGAGAAGGTAATTCCATAGTAGCAGTATGATAGACCTTTATAATAGCAAAGGATTAGTTTTGAAAAAAGGAATAATGTCGAATTCATATAATAATATTACATGTAAATACCGTCATATTTTTGATCATCTCTTTTGCTTTTTCAATATTTTGGGAAAACCCAATAATTTTGTATGTTAAATTCTCTGAATCAATCTGAATTTTAACATTGGATTTGTTTTTTATTTCTCGTAAGGTTTTCTCCTCTAAAATCAAATAATACATAAAGGCAGTGTAAAATCAAATTATAGGAAGATATCAAATTATGACTACTCAGATAACAATAAATACATCAATTCAACCTGGCCCAATTATGAAAAATAAATCAATTGGTTTAGCTTATAAATTTAACGATTTAAGAAAAATATATATATATATATATATCAGTAATGTAATAAATTATAAGATAAAAGAAAAGTAAATTACTAACATATTTCCTCGACAACTTTCTCGATTTCCCAAACTTCAGAGATAACTTTTTCAATTAATTTGTTTTTATTTAGTTTAGAAAAACTTATACTTCGTTTTTTTAGGAATGATTTGAGTTGCGGTACAATAAAAGCTTTATCTATTTTATTTATCATTTCTTGATGTTCACCAGTTGTTAATAAATTCTTTTTTGGTTTATGTGATTCAATAACATCGTCAACATCTTCTGTAAAAGTTGGAGATTCTAATGAGAGCTTGGCAGATAAAGTTCTACTTTGCCATAAATCTTGAGATAATTCATTATATATTGTGCCTAGTTTGTCCTTTGATAGTAAAGGTTCTTTTTTCTTTCGAGATATTTTTACTTTTTCATCATTTTTTGAAGTTTTCTTAGATTTTCCAGGTTTTTTGTCCTTTTTGTCCTTTTTTGAAGAATTAGTCGAAGCAGCATAATTTTGAAATAATGTAAATTGAGGTCGAGACAAATTAAAATTCGTTTGAATTGGATGACTTAAAGTTAATCCAATTCTTTGATTTATTGTCAATCGAGATCGAAAGTACATTGATATTTTTTCTATCGATCTAAATCTAAAAATTTTGTTGATAAAAAATAAAATGCTTTATATCATCACGTGAATAGATGATCATCGATCTATTTTATAAATTATGAAAAGTCATTAAATACAATAATTTGGGAAAGTTAAGCGTGATTTGTTTTGAGACCTTTTAAAATTTAGAACAGGAAACCAAATAAATTTGACAATCTCCTCATAGATATCATAGATATTTTTCAACATTACGTGTATGGCTAGCTCCACCAATCTTAAAGTCACAGGCCTGACCATTCTTCAAAACCTTTGAATTTCTTAACTACCTTAGCTTTGTTCATTATAAATTTCATCAAATACAAGAATCCAGGTAGCCTTTCATTTGATTTTATCATTTCCCGCTAAATGGAAAGCTCAATTTTCGCAAAATCATGTGTAACAAAGTCAATGACAGATATCTGACTATCATAAAACGCATTATGACGCTTATTTCATATTAGATAAAGTAAATTCTTTAAAATATGGGCAACAAGAAGCGCCAAATATCAAAATCTTAAAGCTTTGAACTATGAATAGTTGAAACACTGATAAAAATTAATTCCTTTTATAATTAGAAATTCTGCATGGATTCTGAGGATGAAGGATTCATTTTTAGTATATCAAGTCCTTTAGTGAACAATTAAAGAAGCTAAACTTAGTTTAAGTGAACATTCTAATAATTTGTTGCTTTGTATATAAATCTTAATATTGAAAAAGAAAGTTTTAGCATCGAAAATTCTCAAGGTACGAAAACAATTATACACATGTGATATATAGCGGTAACTCTAAAAAAACTAAGTCGCTGAAATATTTAATAAAAAGTGACAGCGTGAGGGCGTGACATTGGTGACAAATAGGGATGTTAAAGTCTGTGATTGAACGGTTCAGACCATAGTCGCGTAACTAAAAAACGCATTGATCTTTGATCATTTTGTATTTGCAAATATGTCTGGTAATATTTCTTATGAAAATGACGACAATATTTCAGATGTTTCTTCAGTTGCCTTGGATTATTTAACAATAAAATCAACGTCAGTTCCATCAGAAAGGGCCTTTTCGATTTCAGGTTTAACTATTTCAAAAACCAGAAATAGGTTAAATCCAGAAACAGCAAGGGCAATTATTTGTATAGCAACGAAATATATTCTTTTTTTTGTTATAGATTTAGATTTAGTTTTTTTTTTGAATTTTTGACAATAAAATTTTTGTGGTTGTATTTTTTTGTTAATATCGAATGGTTTAAACTTCGGTCTAGAATACAATTCAAAACGGTCTATAAATCAGTCTACGGTTCGATTTTACCTGAAAATCGAACCGAAACCGAACTGATCGAACCGTTAACATCCCTAGTGACAAATAAATGCTGCGCCACCAACCTGACACAGAATTTCAATCCAGTGACTATGACGTTAAACGTGTAAGTACTATTTGAATTTACGTGTTTATTAAGATAATTAGTACTTTTTGTTCTGGTATCTACTTAACAATGGCTAGAGTTTCAAAGAAAAATGGTGGACACATAAATTCTACTGGACAGAAAACCGATAGAAAAGAAAAAGAACCCTCTTCACGTGAGCAACAAGATTATCCAGACCAATCAACTATATTCCATTTTTTCCGTCCTTTAGAAATTGATAAGAAAAAACGAAGAACTACTTCTTTGGCTGGAACAAGTCGTGTATTTAAATTATCTTCTAAAGGAAAGATTGCTTTGAGAAAATACAAGTCAAAGAAAAGTAAAGCAAAACAGTTGGAAGAAATTCAAAAATATAATAAAAAAATTCCAATGTATTTTGACTATTTAAATCCTGAAAAAGTAGAAGAGAATGAAGTAAATGAATCTAGAAATATGCATGGAAGAAAGTCTATTCGTTCCTCTAAAAAGAACATTGATGAATTATTAAAAAATCAACGTCAATTGACTGAGTTCTATGAGGTCATTGAAAAAATAAGTGAACTTTATATTTCGAAAAATGAATCATTACCGTTACGAAGTATGTATAATATGTTTATTTTAGAGTTAATAACATTTCATAATAACGTTCTTTATAATAGGTAATGACGATAGTGCGACAATTCGAAGGGCCGATTCAAATCTTGAGGATAATAATGCACATATAGATGGTTCAAAATGTTTAAGTACCATTAAGAGTGAGACTCTTGAAATATCTAAATCAACAAAATTTGTCGGGAAAGTTTCTACAACTTCTGATAATGATATGAATTGTGATTCCCCTCCAATTGCTTCTTCCCGGTTTGATTTACAAAATTCCTACCATCTTTCGAACTTCTCTATCGAACCAAATGATTCTTTCATTACAATGTCATCCATTTTAAGTTCTCCAAAAGTTGCAACTAACTCTGTAATGAATAGACTTATCGAATTAGATGATGGTTTCAAAATTCTAAGGGAATCTAATGATGAGAATAATGAAATTTTAGATACTATACAAGACAATCCACAACTGCTAGATCCAAGGAAATCTTTGAATCAAAATAAGGAATCTTTCTATAATAATGTAACTAATCAAGTTGAGCGATCATGTAACTCTGAAGTAAATCGACTTATCGAATTAGAAGTTGGTTCCAAAATTCGAAGGGAATCTATTAATGAGGAGAATAATGGATTATCAGATACTATACAAGACAATCCACAACTGCTAGTTCCAAGAAATTCTTTGAATCCAAAAAAGGAATCATTTTGTAATAATGTAACTAATCAAGTTGAACAATCATCTAACTCTGCAGTAAATCGACTTATCGAATTAGAAGTTGGTCCCAAGATTCGAAGGGAATTTACTAATGAAAAGAATAATGGATTGTCAGATACAATACAAGATAGTCCACAACTGTCAATCCCCAGAAATTCTTTGAATCAAAATGAGGTACCTTTTTCTTTTAGTAATAAAGTAACTAACCAAATTGAGCAATCTCGTTTTATCAGCATGTCTAGTCACGTTAATATACCTTGCAATAATAATTCCTCCGACCAGGAAGAACCTCGAAATAAGAATTTGTCTAGTCAAGTTGAGGGATCTTTTTATAATGTCTTATCTTATTACGTTGATGAACCTCGTTGCGATAATGTGCAAGATAATTTTTACAATAATGAAATGGATCACGTTGAGGAAGAAAACGAAGAGATGGCAAGGAAAAACATCAGAGGAAACAATTTGATCATAAACAACAATAATAATTCTGATGGTAATATCGAAAATAATAGTAATTGCGAAAAAAGTGAAGTGCATTCAAATCATAAAAATGAGAGTGATGAGTTATATAGTTATTCATGGGAAAGCGAAATAATTAACTTTCACAGAGACGAACCCTTGAAAAATAAGGATAATACGAGTCAAAAAACTAAATTGAACGAAAACGCACATAAACAATTGGAAAAGGAGGAATTTATAATTCAAGAAACATCCGTGTCTTGTGTGATACAAGAAGAAAATGAGGATCATATACAAGAAATTAACTCGAGAAACACATTTTTCAAGGATCATACAATGCAAGAAACTGGAAATATTCCTGATAGTGTTCAAGAAGTATCATTGGACAAAGAGTATCATATTTCTCAAGAAACTGATTTGGACGAAGATATCCCTTATCAGAGTACAATCGATCTTCATTGTTGTTCTCAATCTGAGAACAAGTGTGAATTTCATCGCATTCATGATTTATTGGAAAAAGATAATTATAATCCCGACTCAATCAGCACCTTTGAATCATTTAAATATTCTGTTCCAAATGAATATAATGACCTTTCTAATCATAAAGAGTTAAAAGAGTTAATTGATGTGTGCCAATTACCGCCAGATAAGATTTGTTCTGTCAGATCTTTTAAAGATGGAATTTCACCCGCACCGTCGCCACCTTCCTTACTCTCTCAAAACACACTTGCCAGGGTGCCTCAAGCTGCTTGGAATACATTGCCTTCATTAAATATTTCTACTTTGGATTTTGATGATCTTTTATAATTATTGTCGATTGAATAATTGTATATTGTTTATGTATTGAATATTTATATACCATTTGCTTTCCGATTTTTTGTTTGAATTGCATTAGACAGAAATATTTCTTTCACGTGTATGATGATGTAAATGGTACATCTTTATTTTGCATCTTACTGTATTTTGATAAAGTGTTCATCTCTTTTCACTTCGTTAGCAAAAAAAAAAAAATACTTATACCCATAAAATAAAGCTTTAATATTTCGCAAGCACAAACATACTTAAATAAGCGCCATTTCTTCACAAGCTTCCACGTCTTCTTCCTCAAGCTCAATAACAAAAGAAACCATCACTCGACGTTATTAAGGATTTCAACACAGAGTTAGTGAAGAAAGGCATGAAACACGTTTCAAATTTCGCAAGGAAGAAATTATTGTTCGTGCCGTTTTTGAATTTACATAAGAAAATTTTCGTAGTATTGGGGTTTTGCAATGATACTTGCAAAGGCCTTAGTCAAAATTACGTGACGACTTGAAGGTTACGTAGGAATAAGGTCATATAACAAGCATCAAAGCAGTTTGCTCCTGGTGGGTGATTACTTTCTTAAATTTTCCGGAAATGGAGCATCACGTTTAAAATAACCACTTTGTTATTTTTTCTCTATGAAGTCTTCGATTAAATTCATATTATCTGAAGATATATATTAATGAACATTTATTTAAAGTATATATTGAAGAATTAAATGATAATGATAATATTATGCGTCTAGCACATAATACTAATAATTAATTTTTTAATTTAACAATAAAACATTAATATATACAGTATATAAATATTGTAAAGTACATTAGTGTTGTCGTGGACATTGGGATGCCTGAAACATAGAAATGCAATTCACAACCGGTATGAAAAAAAAAAAAATAATTCCTTAGTAGTCCGATTAACATTAAGTATATTAATAAAAATCCTTCTATGATGGATAATCCTGAATTGCATGAATTTGGTCAAATCTAATAAACGTTTGTATTACGATTTAATTCGACTTTATAAGAGAATTGGTTATCTACCTGTATAGAGTTGATGGACCGATAGTTTGTGAAATCAAATTGTCCATTTTCAAAACGGGAAAAATCATTATGGTGTGCTTTTTATGTTTACGAAAATTCTTTAAAGGTAAGCGTTATTATTTTTTATTACTACTAAATACAATTAAATCTAACCAAAAAAAGAAAAGATCCACAACATAGAGCTACTATAAAACTATATAAAACCACCTAATTATATTTACCTATATAATCATACAATTTAATTAGCACCCCGTTGTTTTTACATGGTTATCATCACTGGTAACATAAAGTCGACCGTCTCCAATCATATCTTCTATAGCAAACCTATTAAATAATAACCTGTTATTAGGAAAAGTTAAAACATGATTTGTTATAATATAAAGCTTGCAAACTTACCTAACAGCCTGATCAGAACCATATTGAAATGCAAGTTTTTGTGCAATTTCACTAACATCAGCTCCCATTGGTGTATTATTTTGCTTGCTTATGAGGTCAAAGATGTCTTTTTGTAATGGATCTTGATTACCAACGTCACCAGAACTCCTTGTTTGGGATTCATTATTATTAACACTATTTGATACCTATAAAATGTATTTGGCTATTATAAATAAATAATTTAAATGATATGAATTATTATACTTAATTACAGTAAATTTAAGTACCGATGAATTATTTGATCCTTTTTTCAAGTATAAATGCGAATAAATAACATCAGCTATATGGTAACTGATTTCATTATGGTCCTCGATTGGCCGAACAATATGTGCTGCAAAATGTTTTTTAGAGCTAAAAACTCTATAATTTCCAAAAAATTTGGCATAAGTATTGATACTACAATAAACAAGCTTAGTTAGTCCAAATAATATTAATCAAGTATTAAAAGTAAAATTTCAATTATTATTTTTTTTTGTTTGTTTTCCTTACGCGATATCAATTTTTTGATTAACACTAGTTTCATCGCTAGCATCATGCCATACTTTTACATCAATTAATCCGGTACCATCATCCACCATATAATCAATTCCTTGGGGACGAGGTGTTTTATGTATAACAACACCAACAATTTTAATCTAAAATATAAAAATGAAAGATTATTAATTTTTTATAATATAATTTCAGATGGTATAAATTAGATATTTCACGGGAAACTTTCATGTCACACATCATCACGGATGGTGCATGTTATCTACTTAATACTTACAACACGAAGTTCGAGCCCATCTAATGACATAGTAGAATCATTAATTGGAGTTGCATTGTGTAGCTGTTTGATAGTCACCGGTCTAAGGTTATTGTTTCGACGGTCGCTTCCCTATATACGTGTAAACAACGTGAATAAAAATATTCATACTTTGGAACTTATAAAATCGTATAATATGTTTATATACCTGTGAACTTTTGGTATTAGAACTCTCTTCAGATTTTATGAAGCCACCACCACCACTACCGATATTACTATTATTATAATCGCCTGCCCCACTATATCCACCATACTGTTCGCTTGAAGAGTATGACGTGTAGTTGTTATAACCTTGCTTGTAACCTTGAAACGCGTTATACCAAATACGAGTTATTTATTTAAAGAAGTAAAGAAATAAACACTTTGCGGATTTTTTACCTGACATTTTTTTTTTTTTTTTTAAAAAAAAGCAACGCGTCAAAAAAAAAAAGGAATGCAGCCTAAATATCGATATTGATTTAACGTCGATCAATCACGTGATACAATAGAGCGTATATTTATTATTTCTATCGGGGTAATCTTTATCACGAATTTAGCATCATATAAAAATAAAAAATAAGCTACTCATTTGAGCATGGCAGACATTTGTATGATTGGTCAATTTTTATGTCGATCATTTCCTAATTATCAATGAGGTGATAAATATATCAATAATAAATTACTAATTATATATATTTATTATTTTGAAATTAATAAAATACAATTAATTTTTCAAGTACTATTATTAAATATTGATAATAATTATTAATTATATATATTTATTATTTATAAATTAATAAAA